TACCTTCCCGCCGGAGTGGTACCTATTTATCTACAGTCATACCTCAGGTTAAAGTTGCTTCAGGTTAAGCGTTTTTGGGTTGCGCTCTGCGGCGACCCAGAAGTAACGGAATGCATTACTTCCGGGTTTCACCACTCGCGCATGCGCAGATGCTCAAAATGATGTCACCCACATGCGCAGAAGCGGCGAATCGCGACCCGCGTACATGTAGATGCACAGACGCGGGTTGTGTTCGCTTCAGGATGCGAACGGGGCTCCGGAACAGATCCCATTCGCATCCAGTGGTACCACTGTATTTGCATTTTGGGGCGTTTTTGCATTTTGGGGCATTTTTGCACTTTCGAACTGCTAGGTTGGCAGGAGCTGGTTACCGAGCAACAGGAGCTCACCCCATCGTGGGGATTTGAACCGCCGACCTTCTGACTGGCAAGCCCAAGAGGCTCAGTGGTTTAGACCACAGCACCACCCGCCTCCCTTATTAACGATCTAGTCACACCTAATGCTTTATCACTGTTGAAGGCGAAGCCAAGTGGGATAAACCTGGCCACTGAGAAACAAGAAGACCCACACACACAACCCATGGGTAGGGACCACTGGGAAACCCATGTGAGCTACTCTGAACTTTTGAAAGAAAGAGTGAAATATTAACACAGTTTTTATTTTAAAAGAAAATAGAGAATGCATGCCTGCAGCTCGGTCCATAGCCTCCTTTGTGTGTTTGTGAGCTAAGTACAACATAACAGAATGGGGAAGGCTGTAGCTCAGTGGTGGAGCCCCAAGTTCCACCCAGATGGGGCTGACAGAGACCCCAGTCTGAAACCCTGGAGAGCCAATGACAGTCAGTGTAGAAAGACAACACTGAGCTAGATGGACCGATCAATTATTGACTCAGTGTATGGCACTTTTCTTGGGTCCCTGCAGTAAAAGAAGTAGCTGCATCTCAAGGCAGAAGGTGAGATCCACACTACCAAACTTCACAGCGAAATTGCTCACTATGGTGAAAATATCCTCCTCTGGCAACAAAGCCCCCATCCCCCCAGACCCTCTTCAGAATGCACATAACCAGATGGGGGAACCTAGGTGCAGTAAATAAATTAAATGACTGTAACAGTGAAGTGCTGAGTCCAGTCATTTCCCCCAAGAGAACAAGAACAGCTCTGTGGCTTTATTGGTGCTTGTAATTAACACCTGGCTCAAACACGTTTATTGGCAAAATAGGAGAAAGATGGGGGAATGGAGGGGAAATCAGCCTTGAAATTAATTGCCTGCCATTTCTATGGGCTCCTTTAACAATGGCATTATTAAAATGCAATCCTGAAAATAAAGAGAAGCTTGCAGCTCCCCATCTCTGTATTTCTATAGTGAGCCACGGTTTATATTAAAGTAATGGATTTCCTCCAAACCCAAAACACTGTTTAAAATTATTCTTACTCAAATGTTTATATGCTGTGGAACGATTTGTCAGAATTGCCTTACTGCACCAGAAGACTTCATTGTAGGTGAATTTCAGCATTATGCGCACCTCAAATCTTGTAACAATACTAATGTACAGTCATACCTTGGGTTACAGATGCTTCAGGTTGTGGTTTTTTGGGGTTTCGGGGGTTGCGCTTTGCGTATGCGCAGAAATGCCGAATCGCAACCCGCGCGTGCACAGACACACCGCTGCGGGTTGCGAACATGCATCCCGCACGGATCACATTCGCAACCCGAGCGTTCACCGTATCTATTGATTTTAAGTGGGTTTTAAATATCATTTTTAAAGTGCTTTGATGTTCTGTTTCATCAGCGGCAGGCTAGAGGTCAAAGCAACAAAGGGAGTTAAGTGCACCTTCCCTTTGTTTTCTCTCACACTAAGATTTTGCTTTTGCCATGACTTCATTATAGGCATGTATTTAAAATAAGTATTTTTCAACTGGCTTCATTGTTAAGATTTGGGAAACAAGATATTTCAAGAGAGGGAGATTTTAATTTATTTATTTTTAAATAAAACTCTCCCTGGGAATGGAGTGGGGGCGGGTTGGAAAGCCATGTGGCAGTCAAACATTTTGACTTCCACCATCTTGGGCTGCAACCAAGCAAATCTCAGAAAATGAAATACACTCATCCAGATTTCATGTAGCACCCAGAATCAAAACTGTACGGGAAGCCTTAAATTGATTCAAATTCTCAAATGCTGTAGAGCTTATTAGTTCATTGCTAATGTTATGCATAAAAATGGTTCAGAATGATGAATGGTGATGCCCAGTCAAGATGCATGTGGAATCTTGTATTTAGGTACAATTGTTGTCATATTTTTGTAAATGCAAGGAAAACTAAAAGAAGAAACAAAAAAAAGGCAGGATACAGCAGTCAGGCAGCACCTGGGGCCTGTCTTCCACTGTGTCAACAGTTTGTCCAGATTATTCCAGCAGTTCTGAGGGCATCCTGTTTGTTCCACAGTGCATTGTTTTATAGAATTTTAAGCACCTGCTCTTTTTCTGAAACCCCTTTGTCTGGCTGGTTTTTATTTTTATTTATAAATCAGATATGTTCTCGTTGTCTTTCCTCGGGCTTATTAAAGTGCATGGGAGTCATGACAAAATATTTCCAAGGAAAACAATAACAGAAAAAAATGCATAGCTATTCTACTCAGCCCCTTTTAACCCATGAATCCACATGCTGTGGTCAGATCAGCAAGTTCATACATCATAATTAAACCATTGTATTTTTTTTACCTGCTGAAGCTTCAGAATACCCCAAAGAATATTGAAGCTTTGTTGGTGTTTTTATTAAGTACTTTGTGTCCTCAATTTGTGTTTTTATGTTGTGAACCACCCTGTGATGTTCGAATAAAGGGCAGTATACAAATGTAAGTAGTAGTAGTAGTAGCAGTAGTAATATATTATTATTATTATTATTATTATTATTATTATTATTACCACGCCCATCTGGCTGGGTTTCCCCAGCTATTCTGGGCAGCTCCCAACAGAATACTAAAAACACGATAAAACATCAAACATTAAAAACTTCCCTAAACAGGGTTGCCTTCAGATGTCTTCTAAAAGTCAGATAGTTGTTTATTTCCTTGGCATCTGCTGAGAGGGAGTTCCACAGGGCAGGTGGCACTACTGAGAAGGCCCTCTGCCTGGTTCCCTATAACCTCATAGAATCATAGAGTTGGAAGAGACCACAAGGGCCATCGAGTCCAACCCCCTGCCAAGTAGGAAACACCATCAGAGCACTCCTGACATATAATTGTCAAGCCTCTGCTTAAAGACCTCCAAAGAAGGAGACTCCACCACACTCCACTGTCGAACAGCTCTTACTGCCAGGAAGTTCTTCCTAATGTTTAGGTGGAATCTTCTTTCTTGTAGTTTGGATCCATTGCTCCGTGTCCGCTTCTCTGGAGCAGCAGAAAACAACCTTTCTCCCTCCTCTATGTGACATCCTTTTATATATTTGAACATGGCTATCATATCACCCCTTAACCTCCTCTTCTCCAGGCTAAACATGCCCAGCTCCCTTAGCCGTTCCTCATAAGGCATCGTTTCCAGGCCTTTGACCATTTTGGTCACCCTCCTATGGACACGTTCCAGTTTGTCAGTGTCCTTCTTGAACTATGGTGCCCAGAACTGGACACAGTACTCCAGGTGAGGTCTGACCAGAGCAGAATACAGTGGCACTATTACTTCCCTTGATCTAGATGCTATACTCCTATTGATGCCGCCCAGAATTGCAGTGGCTTGTTAGCAGCCGCGTCACACTGTTGGCTCATGTCAAGTTTGTGGTCAACCAAGACTCCTAGATCCTTTTCACATGTACTGCTCTCAAGCCAGGTGTCACCTATCTTGTATTTGTGCCTCTCATTTTTTGCCCAAGTGCAATACTTTACATTTCTCCCTGTTAAAATTCATCTTGTTTGTTTTGGCCCAGTTCTCTAATCTGTCAAGGTCGTTTTGGAGTGTGATCCTGTCCTCTGGGGTGTTAGCCACCCCTCCCAGTTTGGTGTCATCTGCAAATTTGATCAGGATGCCCTTGAGTCCATCATCCAAGTCGTTGATAAAGATGTTGAATAAGACCGGGCCCAAGACAGAACCCTGTGGCACCCCACTAGTCACTCTTCTCCAGGATGAAGAGGAACCATTGATGAGCACCCTTTGGGTTCGGTCAGTCAGCCAGTTACAAATCCACTGAGTGGTAGCATAGTCAAGACCGCATTTTACCAGCTTCTTTACAAGAATATCATGGGGCACCTTGTCAAATGCCTTGCTGAAATCAAGGTAGGCTACATCCACTGCGTTCCCTTCATCTACCAGGCTTGTAATTCTGTCAAAAACGAGATCAGGTTAGTCTGACATGACTTATTTTTCAGAAATCCAATGCTGACTATTGGTGATCACAGCATTCCTTTCTAGGTGCTCACAGACTGTTTGCTTAATGATCTGCTCCAGAATCTTCCCTGGTATTGATGTCAGACTGACTGGGCGGTAATTATTTGGGTCCTCTCTTTTCCCCTTTTTGTAAATAGGGGAAAAGCATTAATAACTTCCTCATTTCTTGCAGAGAGGGAACCGCCAGAAGGCCCTCAGTGCTGGATCTCAGCGTCTGGGCTGAACGATGGGGCTGGAGATGCTCCTTCGGGTACACTGGCTGAGGCCATTTAGGGCTTTAAAGGTCAGCACCAACACTTTGAATTGTGTCCGGAAACGTACTGGGAGCCAATGTAGGTCTTTCAGGACTGCTGTTATGTGGTCTTGGTGGCCACTCCCAGTCACCAGTCTAGTTGCCGTATTCTGGATTAGTTGTAGTTTCCAGAATTCTATCATGTGGGAAGCAGTTTAGAATGAAAGCAACGCCATGATCAGAGGGCAATGGCAAGGAAAATGGAATAAATGTCCAAGGCCTTTTTCCACAAAAAGAAATCCAAGCATAATAAGAAACGCAGTGGCTGAGTTATTTTGCTGCTGCTGTGAAAAACAGAGTTAATGCTCCACTGATTTTTATTTTTTATTTTTTTTAGTATACCAATCTGGTATCGGGGGTCAAATGCAACCCAAGAAAGCTATGCTAATTAAATCTAAGGAAGTTATTAATGCTTTCACCGAGAGCTCTCTGTTTCCAGTAAAACAATATAAGTCCATATAAGTCAATCCCTCGGGAGGTTGCAGACTCTTTCCTCAGAGGTTTTCAAGCAGAGGTTGGGTGGCCATCAGCCATGGATGCTTTAGTTGAGATTCCTGTATTGCAGAGGGTTGGATTAGATGACCCTTGGTCTCTTCTAACTCTATGATTCATCATGGTTGAAGACTACCTGGAATGTGGAGCTGAAAAAGACTGACACAAAGATATTGTTTTTATTGTGTGTGTCGTCGTCCCCCCGCCAGTGCTGCCAGGAAGCATTTTGGCCTCATCTGTCGATGGAGGGTTCAGCACAACTCTCTGCAACTTTAAACTGATAACACATTTCAGAAGTGAGGGCGGGGATGGACAGAGGCAGGTGCTGGGGAGATCAGGTCCGGGAGGATTCCAGTAGCACAGCAGCTCCTGCAATTCAAGCCCTCCCGACTGAGAAAGCCATTTCCAGTTGGATGAAGCCGAGTGTTTCTTTGAGCTTAAGTTGGCACTTATCTGAGGCATTTCATTCATTGCCAGGAAGCACATGCCATGTGTCAATCAGCCTCCTTTTGCGGCTTTAGGACCAATTAAAACAAACTTAAATCCACAGGCGAGGTATCCTGCCCAACAGCTGCACTTCTGCACTCTAACTCTTCTGAAGACAATAGTGAGAGGGGAACATCGGAATAAAGGATGATGGAGAAAGTCCTCTGCTTTCATGAAAGCTATTCTGCACGTCACGGAAACGCAGGCAGTGTTTATATACATCAGAAGCAGCCCAGCTGGCAGAACAAGGGCCAGCATTTACGCTGCCAATACTTAACACTGTTTAGGTTGAAAATTTGAACATCTTCAGAATCAGGTAAGCTACCTACAGGCTGACCTTGTGCACATGAAGCAGCGTGCAATAAAGTACTACCCATTACTGAGATAAAGACCACCTGTGCCACCCGCGCTGCCCTTAACTCATGGTTAAATATGCCAAAATCTTGCCCACTAATCCTATAGATTACAATTAGATTTTCTTTTGTTTTCAGTTTAGAATTTACTATATAAAACCCACTGATTATACATACATCCATAGATTCTGGAAGTGGCACTAGACCTGTCTAACATCTGATGCATGTTTGAACAAATATCTAACCTGTTTATGGGCATGTACTGCCATACTGGACGGTTAGCAATTATTGTGGAGGGGGGAGAAGCAGACAAAAGAGGGGCAACATCAGAGAGGGGGGAAACAAGAGAAGCAGTATGCTTCCAATGCTTATCTCCCACCAATTCCAATGATATTTATACATCCATTAAGCAATTCCCACATCTTAAAAATAAATAAATCAGGAATACTGATTTATTTATTCAGTTTAGACCCATGGAGAAAAATTCTTAAATGAAACTATTACATTTGTATCCCACCTTTCCTCCAAGGTGCTCAATTAAGTAATAACTGACTTATCATTGATTTCAGTGGGTATATATCCTATTAAAACTGAAAATAAGATTTAACCTCATTACATTAACTTTCTCTGCTGAAGTGCTGCATCTGAACAAACAAGAGGGCAGAGCAACAAATGTGCATTTTACCTTTGCACAGTAGGCTAGTTTCTAAACACACTTTCTTCCCTGTCCTCCATCCATCCAAGCCTGCAAGAGGCATTCTTAGAGTCCAAGGACACATTCCAGTCAAGCAAAAACACACTCCAGTTAAGGAAGGTGGGAAGCAGGGCCCAAGGGCAAATAGAGAGGTCTGCATTTGGCTAGAAGTTCCTCATCCCAAGTTTACACTGTCCTTGAAAAAGATATTTTTTTTAATGAAATGGTGCCGAACAATTTAAATGAATCAATAACTCATTTTTTGATACCAGATTGTGCCTTCACTGCCCTCTACTTCTCACATTCACAGGAAACAATCCCATGGAAAACTGTATCAGAACATTTTTAATAACAACAATAGCCATGATTTTAATGCTGTGAACTTGAACAATCCTGAGTAACAAACTTTCCCTCACCTTCCCACCAGATGCAGTTACTTCCAAATATATAACCAGGAATGTATGGCCCTGTGCACAATCCAAGCTGAGATGCTTTGTGAGAATCAAAGTATAATTTACTAACAGATCATCTTGTTTTCCAGTTTTGAAGAACAGTTTAATCACTGAGGAAACCACTTACATTGGACATGATCCAACCAAAGACAAGCGCTTTGGCATTCTCTTGACTCCAACAGGAAAGATAAGCATGCGCTTCTCTCTCTCTCTCTCTCTCTCTCTCTCTCTCTCTCTCTCATGAAAAGCAATAGGATTTAAAGATGCTTAACTCCGGCCATTGTGTTCTAGGCTACATTATGCCTTATGGGGGTTTTTGCAGCCTTACCCCCACCCCTATGTAATATGCATTAACTGGAAACACCGTTTACAATATTTTAATTCTAACAGTGCATTAATCACATACCCTACCAACTATGATAAGGAACTTGAGTATGTAGCCGTCTATAGTTTCCATTAAATAATGATAATGATAATAATGATAAAGATTTGGGGGGAAATAAATTATCCGTACACCACTCCAGTGTGTGATATGTAGCAATATGATCCTTAGCTGTGTTTTGCAACATAGCTTTAGCCTTGGGTCTTTCTTTAGACTTCTGTGACCATCTATTTCACAAGTAAAATAAATCACAAATAAGCCTCAGGTTTTCTTTCATTTCAGCTTTATAAATTACCCACATGGGGCAGGTATCCTTTGCACTCGTCATGCAAACCCCATCTTGAAAGCCAGAGGGGCCTCTGCCTGTGGATGACACTGATCACTTGATAGCTCCAGCAGCTGGGGGAGAACTGCTTCAGGGGCTGGCTTTCATTAGTCTTGCCACCTGGAGGAGACTGAATCGAAAGAAGGTTTTACTTTATACATATGGAATAAAGGGGATGGGGATATACATCCGTTTATTTTGAGTTTCCTTCACTTATCAACGGAGGTGAAAGTAAATTGTGGCTGTGGGTTAATTCCCCAAAAGAACACCCCATACTGTATCTGTTCCTACCCATTTTTAGCACTGATTGTGCAGGGTTTTGTTTAGCAAATGCATCCGAGTGATGATTGTACCCAGCTAAGTGTCAGGGCTTTTGTGCTCTTACCACTTATTATGGCATACAGTGGTACCTTGGGTTACAGACGCTTCAGGTTATAGACTCTGCTAACCCAGAAATATTACCTCAGGTTAAGAACTTTGCTTCAGGATGAGAACAGAAACCGTGCGGTGGCGGCGCAGCGGCAGCGAGAGGCCCCATTAGCTAAAGTGGTACCTCAGGTTAAGAACAGTTTCAGGTTAAGAACGGACCTCCAGAACGAATTAAGTTCTTAACCCGAGGTACCACTGTAGTTGCTATTGTTTTTCTCCAGCTTTTTTTTTTTTTGGCATGCTGCCACACAACGTTGTCATTACTCAGCTAGTATTCTGCTTTTCCTCCCATCGCAATGGTCCTACTCTGAGAAGGACTAAGTTGGATACAACCCTCACAGCCTGTTCACATGATCTGTGAGCCACTTTGGGGATATCAGGAGAATCAGGATACAAGTCCACTAAATCAATCAAGCAATCCAAGCCCTCTCCACAGCAAAACATTCACTTGCTGAATCACAGCTTACCCACAACTCAGGTTATCTGTGTGGTTGCTGATAAACAATTCCCTCAAAGCAGAAGTGGTTTCTGCAGCGATGTTATCTGTGTGGTTCAGTGGTAGATGGATAGCCCCTGAGGGTACATCACACCATCTGAAAAAAGACCTGAGGATCCAGGTCTGTAGGCACACAGCACAGCCATTTGTTGTAACAAAGGAGGTCTTGGGCCAAAATCATGTTGTGGTGGCAGATTTATATTCCTTTAAATGGAGTCCTGTCCCATTCACAGGTAAAGCAAGGTATGGAATGAGGATGCCGAAGCCAAAGGGACACATACCGCTTGTCCATACATTACAACGAACAGAAATAAAAGCTGTCTCTACATATGTACAAGCGCTTGTGTGAAGGAGTACATACGTATTGATTTGCACAGTTCACCTATTGTGTATACAAGTACACCAATGATACACTTGTTGAATCTTACATGTATAAGTGTACAGCTTAACTATTTGGATACACAGATTGCACACTCACTGAAAGAAACGAGTGAGAAACCCTATGAGTGTGCAGTTCTGAAATGTCCCATTGTGTCCTGCTATTGACAACCTTTCACTTACAGCTTCTTTCCACAAGCGCTCCAGCCTGGTAAAGAGGGAAATGTCTGGAAGTTGCTCCAATAGAGAGTTAGATACATATATCTTCAGGCTTCCAATATGAACAGACGCTGCTACTTATTAATGGAACTTAACTGTTTTTTAAAATAGAAAACACAGTTGAGACCTAAAGCTTCTAACAACAGCCAGCCATCTTAATTGATAGCACAAACAACAACCAGGGCCCCTTCTTTAAATAAATAAGTATATAGCATTTGTGTGTTTTAGGTTGTTCTACTATTGCTTTTAATGTTCATTTTTGAGCTTCTTTTCCATCTGAAAAATCAACTAATAAATAAAATAAAATAAAAACTTAAGAGTAGAAAAGAATGGACTTAAAAGTTTGGCATGACGTTAAGTCAATTTATTTCAATGGAGCTACTGAAGAGTATGACTTGTCAGATCCAGGGCCAAAGAAATAAAAATGAGGATCTCATTAAAATTAGGATCTTGCTATAAGGCTCCAACGCAAACAAGAAGCAAAACAGCGAAAGACACCTCTGGAGGCTGGCTGCCCTTTCTGCACTTGTTCTTTGCCTCTTCCCTCATAAAAGTCAGAATCATTTGCATTCCAAAAGCAGGAAGAGCCGGTGGGCTGTTTGCAACTCCTGGCAACCTTGTCTTTGGTGATAGTCACAGGTGCAGGCAATTAACAAACCTGCCCCCAAGATGCGGCCCAGCAGGGTCTCCCTCACAAAACAGTAAAGGGACACCCTAGAACCCAGCTGGCTTACAAACAGAACTGAGGGGAGAGAGGCATTTGCGCCCATTTCTCTCTTTTCTAGCCCCCATTTTCTTTTGAAATTGAGAACACACGTCGGGAGTCACTTTGAAGTCAAAGTCGCAGAGGCTGCTTGAATGTGATATTATTGATTTCCATACAGTCCTCCTTTCCCGCAATGCGGATGTGCATTTTTGAAACCTGTTTAAGAGGGGGGCCTTTTGATCTGTCTCGTTCGCCAGAGCGATATATATATAGATTTGAAAGTATACAGACCTGGCGGGTGAAAAGGGATGGTTTGCCTTGCTCAAGACCATGAACCAAAGTCCAGGCCTTGAAAGCTCTTTGCAGCCTCTCTCTCAGCCGAAAGCAATTTTCTGGAATGGGGGAGTCAAAGGTCACCAACTGTCCAAACACAACAAGAATGACATTGTGCTCCTATGAGTTAACAAGAGAATAGATATTGTTTTAGGGGTATTTTCTCAGAGCTGGACCCCTTAGAGTAACTAACAAATCCTGAAGGGATTGGCCTGTTGTTTTTCTTCTTTCATGTTTAAATTCTCACAAGCCACAGAGTAAGCAGCACAGAAAGATCGATGCATTTGCAAAATCCATATATATATATACACACACACACACACACACACACACACACACACCTCCAGATCCTGAACCAACAAAAACCAAACTCTGCGCAAACCCCAGTTCTCCAGATGGCTTCACAAATGTAGAAATCCATAAATCTTCCTTTCATGTTTCTCATTTCTGAAAGCGTTTTAAGTATTTATCTATCCCTTCCCTCTTTTCGGCTAGCCTTTGGGTATGGGGGCTTGCAAACCCCCAGCCATCTCTTTTTAGCTTGCAGTCTGTACTTTTGCACACTCTGTTGGAAACAGCCCATCTAGTCACCAGCAAGCTCCAAGCATGACTTCATCCTTCAGAACAAATTGCTGTGAAAAGCGCTACACAGGAAGGAGGGCTGTAGGTCTATTTTTAAACACACTGCCTGTCTCATAGCTCAAAAGAGTGGTAAGAAAAGTTCAATCATTCAGGGCCTCTCAGTATATCCTCTCTCCCTTTTGACTAGGCCTCCAGAAGGCAATTCCTCTGCTAGGAGAGCGGGGGTGGGGAAAAGACGAAGAGAAATCCTGAGGAGGAGACAGAGTCCAATTATACTCCATGGCCATAATCCAACATAAGAGGACAGCCTGCCTAATTCTGTTTGGGGTTGGGCAATTCAAGCATGCAGGTGCTCATATTCTACAATTTTGTTGCACAGCAGGGCCGCCTCAGTGAGGATTGCTTGTTTGAATTTTACCCGCACATCTACCAAACAGAAAGCCAGCAGTCAGAAAGTTTATTTCCCACCTATGCCTGACGACGTAAACCACATACTGATTTCTACACTGAAGGGCAGTGGCATAGCATGGGTTGCCAGAGCCCGGGGTGGGGCAAATGTTGTGCCCCCTTGGTGTACTAGGCAGCTGGGGTGGTGGCCTGTGCCAGGTGGGCACATGGTGCCTGTGTGGAGGGTGAACAGAGCCTGCCTCCAATGGGCTCCTCACCCGCTGCCTCCATCCACCTGCTCGCTAGACAAACCCACCTGCCACCGTGCCTCAGATGCCAGGGCTCTGTGCCTGTCCTGGGGGCACCTGATCGCACCCCTTCAAAAATGTGTGCCTGGGGCAATGCCCCCCTGCCCCACCACGCTATGCCTCTGCCAAAGGGTGATATAACACTCACATTTTGTAGACGTCACATATGAAAAACACAGAGCATTATCCAATGCACCCATTCTATTAGGATTTTCTATTAGGATTTCTGTTTGTGCAATAGAACTTGTAGATGTCCCAAATATATTCCAGAGGGCTGCCAGGGGTGGGGGCAGAACAGACGTTGGGGGGGGAGAAGGAAGGAAAGTCCCAATGTGCAGCCAAAGTCCTTGTGATAAGAGAGCGAATGAATTGGATGCCACCCAATAGTTTTCAAAAGTCAAAATATTTTGAACATGTGCTTGGAGGAGGTCATTGTTCATAAAATGACTTCAGCTGATCACTGTGCGGAGGTGATGTGTTGAAACGAAGAGCAATAAATGGCAACTTTTAGGCGAGTGGACCTGGGGCTTTCCAAACTCTATCAGCCCCAGGCAGCGTGGAGGTTGCAGTCCAGTAACATCTGAGATGCTACAAGTTCCCCATCCCTGCTCTTAGGGCAAGGATATAGGGGGAAGTCTGGTGTCTGTTAGGAAACCCTACCTCACGGCACACAGTGTGAAATGCTGTCCAAAAAGCATGTGGTCTTACATGTTGATAAATTATTATTTAAAGGAACAATCCTATAGCAAGATCTGCTGAGATGAGCGAGGTCAAGATCTAGCAGATCTCTGGCTGAGCCAAAAGGTTCCCAGCACAACCAGGCTACATTACCACAACTCCCCATCCTCAGCTCAGTCAAAGAAACACCAGCCTATCTCCAGCATCCTGCCAGATGGCTGAGCTGAGCCTGGTGGATATTAAGCTGGTGTAAACCCTGAAAAGGGGGTGGGAAGGGACTTAGACTGGATCCTAAGTGAGGTTTTCCATGAGGTTTCTGAAACAAACATTGCACACATGTATTTTGATATGTATGATTGGAGTGGGACTGGGCTAAAGAAGTGGGTTAACAAGGATTTGGAATGAATAACATAGTTAATGACCTGAGATATTTTCAAGATGGTGGAAGGGATGATCCCTAGGGATTTAGTGAGCTGTTTTGGGGGAAAAAATCCTAAATACTTAAAAGGAATCCTTAAAGGTCAACACATATACAAAATGGTTGCTCTGCACCAATATACTCCCAGTAAACCTAGTCCATGATTATCATTAGGTATCTACTTTTTACTGGCAATAATAATAACAATACTATTGCGTTCCCTCCACAGCATCACGCTTTCAACGTTGCAGGCTTCCCCATCCAAGGTCTATACAGAGGAAATATGAAATGTATAAGAAGATTGTGAAGGTGAACAAACCCTGCTTTGATGAGATGCAAAAACATTCATTAGAGCAGTGGCTGAAGACGTCGACACTTATTTAATGAATTTTTAAACTCAAAACTGTTAAGCAGCAATCCTATTTAATGCCATTGACCTTTAAAAGAGTAGCTAGCTCTGGGTTATGCTCTTGCTAAAAAGGACACTGTGGTTTCTATCATTTCCGTGTCTCCTTATATGCAGAGACATTCTTGCCTTAGACAGCAATTATGGACTCAGGGAATCTCGATTACCATTTTGAAGGGCCACCCTATGCGTACTTTGCAGTGATTATTCTTTGCTAACAAAAGGATCAGGGAAACCTGGACCACACAGCTACTGTACTTGGAGGAATAGGCCATTCTCATATCTGTCAACACTTGAAAAACCAGAAGAAATTGATTAGGCTTCTCCTTCTGACTTCAAGCTGATTCCAACTTCACACTGGACAATAAGCCAGTTGTTACGCACTTTAATAAGTTAGGTATGTTTTTAGTGTGCATGTACTCTTATATGTTTGTGCCTTATAAGAGACCTTTAATGCCTCCAGTCAAACCTCTAAGCACAAATGTTTTTTCTTTATCTTTTTCCATATAAACTGCTGCTACATTTCTAATTTAATGTACCTCTGCTTTTCAAAGCATGCCAGTCCTTAATGCACTTAATCATGTATTACGATTCATTGTTGTGGCCACACTGAGAGGAATCCTCTTTTGATTCCTCACCAAAGTAAACATCACAGAACAGCAGCCATTGTCAAGGCACCAACAGCCAGAACAGGGGGATCTGGGCGCCTCAGAGAGCATGGCAACCCAACCTCCTTCTCAAAACACAGGTAGCACCTTTAGAGAACTGAAGCTGGCAGCTCAGCACCCAAAAGTCCTAGGAAGCACAGGCACTTAAAGGTGCAAGCTCAGTCAGCTACCAGATGACAAAAGTGCCCATTTGAGAAACAAGTGCTCCTCAGGAGTAAATGGATGCTCATGAGCAGGCATCCCCAAACTCGGCCCTCCAGATGTTTTGGGACTACAATTCCCATCATCCCTGACCACTGGTCCTGTTATAGGGATGATGGGAGTTATAGTCCCAAAACATCTGGAGGGCTGAGTTTGGGGATGTCTGCTCATGAGTATGCTCCTCCTTGTGAGTGGATCAAATCCTCAGGCAACCACATGGCCTGCAGCTGTGCTCTGAAGGATCAGGCTTAGTTCCAGGCACAGAGTTCTAGGACAGTGGGTTGGTACCAGCTCTCTGACTTGTGCATCCCTGCCTGGACACAGACACATTGATTTCGGCCTTTACCTAGATGCTTGTGCTACCCCTGCATCAGAGGGCATTTCTGGTGTGGTTCATTGTTAACTTGCAACTGTTCTGCCCGGGCTCCTCCTGCACCTGGGATGAACGTTAAGCTTAGAAAAGAGCATTCTGCTACTAGAAAGATGCAACAGGCAATGTTAACTTAATCACAGGACTTGGCATTCCAACACTTCAAAACAAATTTGACTGAAGACGTGTGTCAAAGCCCAAAATGCCCAATTGCCTCGGAACTGAAGGGAACAGCACTTATCCAGCTGGTTTCCTATAAGTGTGACCTCAGTCTGGAAGAACACACCAAGATCAGTACCGACCCAACCACAGGATTAACGTATCTCTGGCCATGCGCTGGCAGCCTGTATTCAAGATAACGAAGGGAGCGAAAGAAGCTTGAGCAACTGATCCCATGATAGCTGGGGGAGGGAGAACACTAAACAGATATCAGGATATTTGGGCTAGATTAGGGAGAGGGTATGCATCCACCTGGAGCTGCAGAGCATGTACAGTTCCAAAACCCTCTTCCTTTTTCCTCATTCTGAATTCCTAGACTGGCCATCTAGCTTTTAAAACACCCATACCCTGGCAAGTAATCCCTCCAGTGGGGGGCACCGCCGGGGAGTTAATTGCTCTACTGAACTTTATTCAATAAACCTAGTCTTTTTGCCTTTTCATCCATAGGGGAATCTCACTTGTTTTTTCCTTGCTTTTTTAGTTTGGGTTTTTCACACAACGCAATTAGAAGACTGGTTAGCTGAAATCAGCATGGGGCAAGGAGGTTGGAGCACTGGCTTCTTCGTAACTTCCTCCTTCTCGACACTTCAGCTAACATTGTTGGTGGCCTTGACCACACTGACTGTGGCTGATGGGAGTCACAGGTTCTCCAACCCTGCAGCAGAAAAAGGTGATGGAAGTCTTTGGAGTCTCTGCAGTCAATGGATGAAGAGCTTAATAGTGTCTTTAAAAGGTCTTCCTTTAAACCACCACCCTTGTCACTAGAACACTGCCTTAAGAAAAGGAGATCAGAGCTAAGAACATAGTAAAGGTAAAGGTAAAGGTAAAGGGACCCTTGACCATTAGGTCCAGTCATGACCGACTCTGGAGTTGCGGTGCTCATCTCGCTTTATTGGCCGAGGGAGCCGGCGTACAGCTCCTGGGTCATGTGGCCAGCATGACTAAGCCACTTCTGGCAAACCAGAGCAGCACACAGAAACGCTGTTTACTTCCCACCGCAGCGGTACCTATTTATCTACTTGCACTTTGACATGCCTTCAAACTGCTAGGTTGGCAGGAGAAGGACTGAGCAACGGGAGCTCACCCCATTGCGGGGATTCAAACCGCCAACCTTCTGATCGGCAAATCCTAGGCTCTGTGGTTTAGACCACAGCACCACCCGCATCCGAAAGAACATGGTAAAAGGTAAAGGGTAAAGGGACCCCTGACCATTAGGTCCAGTCGTGACCGACTCTGGGGTTGCGGCGCTCATCTCGCTTTATTGGCAAAAGGGAGCCGGCGTACAGCTTCTGGGTCATGTGGCCAGCATGACTAAGCCGCTTCTGGCAAACCAGAGCAGTGCACGGAAACGGTGTTTACCTTCCCACCAGAGCAGTACCTATTTATCTACTTGCACTTTGATGTGCTTTCAAACTGCTAGGTTGGCAGGAGCAGGGACCGAGCAAAAGGAGCTCACCCCGTCATGGGGATTCGAACCGCCGACCTTCTGATCGGCAAGTCCTAGGCTCTGTGGTTTAGACCACAGTGCCACCCGCATCCCAAAGAACA